TGGGGGATATGCGTCTTTAATGGAACGTGCACAGCCGTGTCTCCACCACTTCCACAGAAAGTTCTCCCAGTAAAGAAGCTGGAGAGGGTCAGAGTCCAGCTGGACTGGGACAGGGGGAGGGTTTCGTTCGTTGATCTGGATACCAACAAACAGATTCACACCTTCAAACACACTTTCACTGAGAAACTCTTTCCTCTGATGATTAACCACAGTGAATTAGCCCTAAAGATAATGCCAGTGAGCATCTCTGTACAGGAACAGCATGGGGTTCCTCTCTCATCAAGCGTCTGGAGTTTTTCTTAAGGCCCAGAACCACGATTTACTCTCTGATTGCGGCAGGTTTGAAATAATGTTTCCACCTTTTTAATAATTTGAACTGTACATTGGAATAACACACACTGTATCAGATATGTAAAAACTGTGACTATTCAATCATAATGATAAGAAGATGTAACAAACTCTCTGCTGAGGAAAGCTTTCCAGGAAACTGGATTTCAGTTTTGTGTTAAAGGTATCTTCATGTGATAATTTACGTCAATTTTGGGATCACAGAAAAAAAGACAGGGAATGTTGGTGGAGGTTTTGAATGAGTTAATTCTATCTGCTTTCAGTCAAATCCGACTTACACGTGTTTTTACACCTCGTGCCTATTTTTGTTCGCGCATTTCTGACATTTCTGACATTTCTGACACTTTTCCTTTCAGATATCAAACTTTTCTTTTCAGTCGCCGTTTGAAAAAAAAGGAAATAGTAGCTGGTTATCATGACATTGACTGTGGAATAAGGGTTCAGGCATCTGTGATATAGTTACCACATTTTTACAAGATTTCAAAATGAAAACATTGTTTCAAACATCATGTTGCTCTTATTGTAAACAAACGTCACAGATATGAATTACGGGACTCCAGTTGTGTTTGATAAGAGTGAGTTTTTGCTTTTTAAATGAGTGAAAATAGTGAGACATTACTTTGGTTTATCAAAACAGAGCAAATATTTTAGATGTCTGTCTTCAAACTTTGTAGTTGATATGTACAGTTTTGATTGAGTTTGCATCTGCGTGTTTGTGTACTTATGCATCCATGAATAAATGGTGAAAAAATGTGTGTCGCTGAATAGTAAATGTGATAAATAGATAAACAAACTAAATCAAAATAGCATTTCTGTACTTTTTTCATTTAAAAAAAAAAAATGGTTTCACACACTTTAACAACGAAATTTAGTTTAGCTTTGAGACAACATAAAGGGGTAGCTTTTGTCTCAGTGGACTTGCGTAACATTACAGTCAAAAATATTAAATACTCTTCAAGAAAGACAACTTTCAGTTTGTATTCATTTGGAAAACTTTTACTATGACAAATACTTAATGTTTAAACATCTGGTTTTAAAAGAGATTTGAATAAACCTAAATAATGTCGTGGAGGGTCAGGAACTTTACATTTTGTCACAGCTGGGTGAGAAACAAAGAGGCAGAGCAGAACCGGTCAGATGATAAAAAGTTTACTGGTTTTTGTTCCTTTTGTTCGTTGTTTGATGTGAAACAGAAAGTAGAGCGCTGCAGACAGAAAAGCAAACTGAGCCCGACTGAAAATTAATTAAGAATAACAGACTTAATATCCAAACAGGTTATGGACAAACGGAAAAACAGGAACTTCCCAAACCTGACTGAACTTGTAGAGACAGTTTGCACGGGGTTAACCGCAAAAAGAAAGAAGCCAAACCGCTCTGAGCTGAAAGCTGCACTGACTCTCACAGTTAGCCCAAAGATGATTACTCATATTCTCCCACAGATACGAGACAGAACTCCAAAGGGCTTCTCATCATGTCTGGGAAGACTGAGTTTAGATAGGATGGACAGAAAAAGAATGGAGACATACAGCAAATGATCCTTATCACGCTTCTGAGACTGCTCTTTTTTCTTTCCAAAGCAGAAAAATAGTTGCAGAATAAATTAATAAATTGAAGCGCAGCAGAAGATTCGCCATAGTTAGCCACAAAGCCATGAAGTCTTCTTCTGTCTGGACTCGGATTTGCATTGGAAATTTATTTGATAAAAAGGAAAGCATGAAACACCTCCCTCTGTCTGCATAGGCTTGCATAGTTTGATAGCTGGACTTTGTGAGCTGGGTCGGTAGGACTCTCCATCAGCTCAGAAGCAGGAGTCAGAAATTGAAGTAGGAAGCATTCTGTAAACTCACTGGGAAACTGTGTATTCGGGACCCTGCTGATTTCATTTTATAAGCAGGAGTTTACCAAACCTGCAGCTCAAAGAGGAAGCAAGTTTGAAAAGATATAATTTTATTGCTCTTCTGGCTCTTTTTTTGTTCCCGCTCCCGGATTTGAGAAGCATCTCTCCTTATAACCAAGCCCCTTCAGGTCTTTGAAGGGCCCGCTGACCTGGGACAGTGGCACAGCCTCTGTGAAGATTGTCTGAAGGAATTGTGGTCTGAGAGACTTCAACACACAAGGAAATGACCTAGGAGGTCCTAACTGTAAAATGGATTTACAGACTGTGTGTGAGGCCTTCTTACTCGAGGAAAACCCGGAGCGATTGCGACGAGTCTGAGGCCGTCTGCAGCCTGCACGCCGAGAAACTCAAACTCTTCTGTCTGGACCACCAGCGGCCCGTGTGTCTCGTCTGTCGGGACTCCAAAGCGCACGACGGCCACAGATTCCGACCCGTCTACGAGGCCGCGCAGGACCGCAGGGAGGAGCTGCAGAGGCGCCTGAAGCCTCTCCAGGACGGACTCCGGCTGTTTCGACAGGCAAAAGCTAACTGTGACCGAACAGCAGAGCACCTTCAGCTGCAGGTGCAGCACACGGCGGATAGCCGCGCGCTTCGCCAGTTCCTGAACGAGGAAGAGGAGTTCAGGATGGCTGTTCTGAGGGAGGAGGAAGAGCAGAAGAAGCGGATGCTGAGGGAGAAGGTTGAGGAGCTGGACCGGGACATGGCAGGTCTTTCTGAAGCGGTCACGCTCACGGAGGAGGAGCTGAGAGCCGCGGACGTCTCCTTCCTGCAGGGCTACGAAGCTGCTGTCCAGAGAGTCCAGCAGCTCCCCCTGAAGGATGACCCTCCGCCGGCCCCGGGGGCTCTGATAGACCATGCCAAACATCTGGGAAATCTCAGCTTCAACGTCTGGAAAAAGGCGATGAAGCTGGTGTCCTGCTCTCCCGTCATTCTGGATCCCAACACGGCTCATCCGGTGCTCAGCCTGTCCGAGGATCTGACCAGCGTGACGTCTGGACAAAGGCAGCGGCTCCGCGACAACCCGGAGAGGTTTGACCGGCGACTCTGCGTCCTGGGCTCTGAGGGATTCAGCTCAGGGACTCACAGCTGGGACCTGGAGGTCAGAGATGAGCGCTCCTGGGGCTTGGGTGTGTTACAGGAGTCGGCTCAGAGAAAAGGCAAAATCCAGGGCGGATACTGGGGGATATGCGTCTTTAATGGAACGTGCACAGCCGTGTCTCCACCTCTTCCACAGAAAGTTTTAACGGTCAAGAAGCTGGAGAGGGTCAGAGTCCAGCTGGAGTGGGACAGGGGGAGGGTTTCATTCGTTGATCTGGATACCAACAAACAGATTCACACCTTCAAACATACTAGTAACTGTGTGTAAGAACCTGGTGAAGACTTATAGAAAACGTTTGACCTCTGTCATTGCCAACAAAGGGTATATAACAAAGTATTGATATGGACTTTTGACCAAATACTTATTTTTTCTCCTCATTTTGTCTCTCATAGCTGAGGTTGATTTATGAT